ACTCTTGTAGGACACTCTTGTGGGACACTCTTATAGGACACTCTTGTGGGACACTCTTCTGGGACACTCTTGTGGCTGTGGGACACTCTTGTAGGACACTCTTGTGGGACACTCTTGTGGCACACTAGAAGCAGTCCTGCGAGCGTTTCGTACGAGACGTCCTCCAAAAGTCACGCTTCGAGGCTGCACAAGACGAGCGTTTCGTGCGAGACTTTCTCCAAGAGTCACGCGTCAAGTCTCCAAAACGAGCGCTTCGTCCGAGACTTCCTCCAAAAGTCACACGTCAAGTTTCCAAAACGAGCGTTCCGTACGAGACTTCCTCCAAAAGTCACGTGTCAAGTCTCCAAAACGAGCGTTTCGTACGAGACTTCCTCCAAAACTCACATGTCAAAGTCTGCAAAACGAGGATTTCGTACGAGACTTCCTCCAAAAGTCAAGCGGAAACACCCATCGGAGCACACACATCACGCAGCCCTGCCAAGCAATTTCGCGAGTCCAGCCCCTCCAAACAATACCCCCTCACACGCCAATCCCAATGTGACAGCGACATTCACCTCTACCACAACTCACGACCTCACGATTCCCTGCGCCTGCCACGAATCTTTCCGCATCCACGCGTCTAACGCGCACAAAGTACTGCGCCTGCCACGAAATGTCACCTCCGTCACACCTCGCAACCTCACGATTTCCTGCGCCTGCCACGAAAATCGCACTTCCACACCTCAAAATCAGCACAACAAATGTGCCTGCCACGAAAAGTGAGAATATCATCTCACGTGAGCTTCAACAAAATTTGCACCACACCACACGTTTAGAATGATTTCGACCCGTTCTGAGCACACTCCCATCCACCAAAATCGCCATTTCAGCTGAGACTTGTCACGAAAACAGAGCTTCGATGCCACACCCTGAAACGCAAATCCCAATGGCACGGCCACATCCAACACCCCAAAAACACGACTCTCCAAACGCTAATCCTAATGGAACTGCGCAGTAAACTGCGGATCTCTCAAACCACTGCGCCTGTGCAGCGAAATGCATCACGCTTCTTGCGCGACATGTCATTTTCATGCAAATCACAATGGAATAGCGTCGCAAACTGACACGTGACACATCCATGAAAAGTCACTTGCAAAAGCTTCCCCCAATGGCAGCGCCTTAGCGTCCTACTGCGAACGGTTGCGGACGGTTGCGGACGGTTGCGAACGGTTGCGAACGGTTGCGGACGGTTGCGGACGGTTGCGAACATAGAAACAACGGATCGCGAACAAGACTCTACCCCCAGACCCCCAGAGTTAAACGAGAACCCTTCGCTACGCATTCGGGAACATGTTCGATCCTTCAGGCTCTTCGTGCACGGTGCTACTGGTCACCAACATGAGGTTGCCGAACCCAAACAACATGAACATGGTGTGAGGCGAAGCACGAAAGGAGGTCGAACTTGCCGAAGGTGAGATGAATCTCGAATCACCCTCTAGGAGATCAGTTTCAATGATCTCTTGATCCAAGACCGGAAGACGTCTTGCTTTGATCACGTGTGAGCCGGTGTTTGCAAAACGAACGATGCCGGTCGACTGGAGGTGCAGGAGGCACGGTGAAATCATGCTTTTAGTTAGTGCATCTGCTGTCATGGATTCAGTGGGAATCAAAATTATCCAGCGAATGCGACCGACCAGTCTGGCTTCCCGATGGGCTAAGATGTAAATTCTTTGACCCTTATCTTGGGGCAACGACTTACTTCCTGTACTCAACTCAAAAAAGTCATTACAGTCAGTATAGACATCAACTGGAAGAAACGGTACCCCACGTTCCTGAAGTGAGGCGAGTTGCTGTAAGGAAGGTGCAGGCTCGGCGATCAGGATTTCGCCCAAGCGAAGCGCAACCAGTGTTGCGGATTCCAGTCCGTTGATGGCTGCTAAAGTCTCCCCATGAGAGGTCGAGTAGGAGATTCTTTTGGCCTTGTTGCCTTGCGACCATAGGATATGAGCTGGTCCACCAAAGATGCCAGGACTGCTGGTCTCTCCATCTATGTTGTGAACTCTTGGATCCAGGTCGAGGCTATCAGTAGTGAGGAGCACCAGGATGCCTTCATTGGCATAGTTCCTTTCTTTGGATGCTGCACTTGCATCGTGTATGCAGGCTATTCGCAGCTTGTCATTCCTTCGGAAGAAGCGAAAGATGATGCCGAGGGAGATCATCTTCTTGTCCTGGGCTTTCTTCACAATCGAATTGGCCATGCGGAGATGCTTCACCTTGGCCTGAGTGACAAAGGTCTGCAGTTGGCAGACGTCGGCAATGAGGTCCACTCTTGTAGCGGTCAACCACAAAAGACCACCTAGGACCTAGGATGGATCGAAAAGAAGTCACCTCTTCTTTGACCAGTGTTCGCTCGTCCTTGTCGTTCTCTTTGATCTGAACTGTCTTGAGGTTCTCGGCGAACTCTGTTTGATCCATGGAATAACCTTGTATCATCTTGTTGTAGCGACAACCGCAGTGAGTGAAGGGCATGCCTTGTCGTGCCACTTTGCCAAATTGGACTTGAAACTTCCGATGCATATCATCGATGGCCAGTGGATCAGCAGCTATTGCAATATCATCAACATGCGTGGTCAGGATCATGCTCGGAGCGCCAGTGGGTGTCTTCCAGAAAAACATGTTCTCATCAAGCTGGCTTTGTACTCCACCGCACGATTTGAGATATTCGTGCAAACATAGCTGCCATGCCAGAGGTGCATCATTCAAGCCATATATGGGTTTCTTGCACCAAAGAAGCCATTCGTGGATCTTGTCCT